ATTTAAAAATCAGTTAACTTTTTTATTTATTTATTTTTCTCTGCTGTGAATTCCTCTTAACCCACTCTTCTGCCGTTGTCTTCACCTATAAGATGAAGCTGTAAATTAAAGTCTTCTTGACGCTACTCCCTGTGTGACTATGTCTGCACGGGCCAATCAGGGAGAGGCTTACAGAAGAGCTTTGTCTCCACCCGTCTGTCAAAACACATTTAGGCTGAATCCCAAACTGCCCCCTAACCACTAACCCTTAACTAGCAAGTGTCACTCCCAATGAAGTCTCACTCGCAGCAGTGGAAGGCCTCTTAATTGAAGGTGTGGGGTATAAACGAGAATGGGACAGCGTCTTCTCCCCAACGGTTGGGATGGCAACACAGTAACATGCGATGTGAGTGGCTGTAGCTCTGTGGCTGAGGGTGACATAAAATTAAACATTTGACCCTTTCTTAAAAGGAATGTGTACGGTCAAATAAATCTATTTCAAAGAGGACCTTCCATTTTTCAATTAATTACTTATTTTTCATATACCTAACTTGTGATTTTGTGTCAGCGTGACGAAGATGCAGCAAACCAACATTCCTCCAACTTACATATGGAGGAATGTGTTCCTTACGCCACTATTTCGCTGTAAAACCTGTTGCCAAATTCCAGCGAGCATGCACTGATGCAGACTCGCTATTTAAGGGCTAAACGGTCAACCCTACCCACTATGTGGTTTGGGATGGCACTTAATGTGGTGGACCATCTGCAGGAACGCGCAAAGAGAGGGTTAGTGTGTAGGGGCCGGTTTGGGCTTTTGTTTTGCATGGGGAGAAAATCAGCTTGAGGGCAGAGGCACCTTTCAGAGTGCAGGTGTCCACAAGCGAGGGCACCATAGAGCTATTTTCTCCTCCCAAAGATGCAGTTCCTTGCAAGTATGACATGTTCTTTGAGATTTTGACATAAATGTGAAGCAATGGTAGTAAGTCTGAACTCTCCATAAGGTAGTTTTAACTCTTCATGTAGGGTGGCGGTTTGTTAGGTCTCAAAGTTACTGCTCTCAGGTTTTTTTTCCTCCTCACCTTCACTGCATAATCTATCACAGGGATCTTCATCTTATAAGATCCCATTATAGTCAGAGAGAATGCTATCACTTCTCTTTGGCAGCTACTGTGTTTTGTATTGATGTCCAGTTTTGGGCTACCATTAATAACATCACACTCACAATTCCCAATGACCTTTTAAAATCTTACAGAGAATTATGGCGACCTGAGGAAGACCGCTTTGTACTTTGCTGTTTCTAACGGCGACATCACCTGTGCTGAAACCTTGCTGAAGGCTGGAGCAAGAACAGACCTAGACCCTCTTCATTGCATCTTGGTTGCTGTACGGGCAGAGAGGTCTGCAGGATGTATTTAGCGTGTTTTTCCTGATGTACATTTAATGCTGGTTTCCCTAAAACGAGCCACTGTGTCCAGGTATGAGATGGTGAAGCTGCTGCTGTCCTACGGAGCTGATGTGAACTGTTATTTCCGAGTGATCAACAACACGGTGTTCCCCACCGCCCTTCACTACTGTCTCAGAGACCCCGCCATGTTACGACTGCTGCTCAACAGCGGCTATCAGGCTCACAAGCACGTATTCTAACCCATCATCAAAATGTTTAAATTATGAAATGCATACAAAATATAAACAAGGTTTTACCTCCCATGCTTCCTCTAGGTGCTTTGAGTGCTGCCATAATAAAAGTGAAGATATGGACAGTACCTGGACTGACCTCCACAACCAGGCCTACAAGATTTACTGTCAGCCTAATGTGACATCAGTATGAATTGACACACATGCATCCTTATCTTCTCGCTACAGTGGGGGAAAATAAAAGTTCCTGATCTTTTTCTTCTTCAGTTCTGTGAGTTTGTATCGGTGTCCTGGCTTGCTCATCTGGCAGGCAGCGTTGTAAGGATCCTTCTGGACTACGTGAGCCACATCAGCATCTGTTTCAACCTGCAACGCATCCTGGAGAGGACTCCACAGTGGGAAGAGATTTCTACTATACTGAGTAAATCTGAACACGTGACACTGATTTGATATGATATACTGGGTAGATGGAGTGAGATTAATTTTACCTTTATCCCAGGTGAGCCCCGTTCCCTGCAGCATTTGTGTCGACTCGTAGTCAGAAGTAGAATGGACACCAGGATACTGAACAACCAAGAAGCCATGGCTGCTGTTCCTTTCCCTCCCAGACTGATCAGCTGCTTGACCTACAGAGAACCCCCCATCACCTGTATGGGGGACTCCAGTGATGAGAAGGTTTAATCTGCAGACACTTGTTCAAGATTTTGTAAATGTATGTGTGCACTTTGTGCAGTTTTTTTTTTTCCATTTTAAACATGTATATTTATCTTCTTTACCAAACTGTTGCTTCTTTAAGTGTACAGCTTGGCAGAGAGCTGAAAAATGCTTCCATGGTGAATTAAAAAAGTTGATATTTGATGAATCTGGGTTTCCTGTTTTACTAATTGGATGACTGCAAAAATGTAGTTAAACAAGTGAAACAGAATTTCAGAAATAAGAAATCAGCTAAAGCTGCTTATATTGCAACCAGTATGTACCTTTCAGCTTTTCACACAGTAAAGAAAAGTCAGGAAATGGAGAATCCTTCTGTTACATCCCTACATAAAATTTAGAGGTTTTTTATTTTATTTTTATTTTTTTTTTTTAAACCTGATAATAGGGGATCGGAAGATTCATAAAGCTGCATTATATTATTGCAATATTACCAAACCGTCCCAAATGCAGCTCATAATTTTGATGAAATGTTTAGTTTTTATGTCTTTTTTTTAATTTTCCACTGGCAGTTTTCAGCAAATCTAATCTTCAAATAAAGTTCAATAACAGAGGTGTCAACTAAGTAAAAATACATCGTTACTGTACTCAAGTACACTTTTTAGGCATCTATACTTTACTCCATTACTTATTTTTCTTCCTACGTCTGACTTCTACTCATTACTTTTTCACACAGGTATCTGTACTTTCTATTCCTTACATGTTTAAAACAAACGTTACACGTTACTCTTAGCTTTGGTTTAATGTTAATAAATATTTATTTCACGTCATGTGCGCCATCCAATGCAGATCATTGGCTCCATCCACATCTAGTGAAAAATATTGTAATTGGATGAGTCATATAACGCAAACACTCATTAGCTAAAGGAAATCATCAGAAGCAAGCAGGTGTTCTTCAAACTGCAAACGTGAATTGTCTATGCCATGCTACGATGTGGGATTCAGAAAAAGATGCTGAAATGTCTGAAAGGTCAGACACAGGCGAGAGCGTATCGGGACATGGAGACCAACAAGACCTCCCTCATCCTTGGCCCTATCTCAAAGAATTTTTCGAAATTGTCAAAAAAATTAAGCTATTAATTCATTTAGTGGCATCTGTTTTTTTTTTAAAAGGTTACTTTATACTTTTATTCTTTAAGAAGTTTTTGGAGCACATACTTTTTCACTTTTACTTGAGTAAAGAGGTCAAGTTGATACTTCCATTTTTACCAGAGTGTTTTTAAACATCAGTATCTATACTTCTACTTAAGTAACAAATGTATGTACTTTTGACACCATTGATTAATAAAAAAAATGTTTTTGACCTGAGCAAAGATTGACTTTAAATTATTTGGCCATATGAATTTCCTTTTGCCACAATGGTGCTGGAGGTTTGACAGGACCCAAATGCAGACTGAAGATGAAGGAGTTTCTTGAAGCTTAATTAACCAAAAGTTCAACAGAAGCAAAAATCCAAAACATAAATCCACAAAAACCCAAAAATACTGAAGGCCAGGAATACTCAAAACAAGAGGGCAAAGAAATGACAACGAACCAGCAAAGACTGACTGAAGAGGATGAGATTATATGGGAGAGAGAAACAAAGACCAGGCTAATTAGTGGATTGGGAGTAGGTGTGAACAAAGGGCAAGCAGGGGGCTAGGGAAAAGGAGACTGACACAAGAGGGCAAACAGGAAATATCTAAGAACTCAAATACCTAGAACACAAGAATGAAAAATAAGACCAATAAAAATTCAAAATAAAACTTGAACAAAATCAAAACCATGTAACTTTTAAAATCAGTTTCAAGAACAACATCCATTAGCAATTAATGAAAAAAAAGTTCTGTTTTAATTTGTACAGAAACAATAATGGACAAAAAAATATATATATATCTTTGATATGACTTGAAATGACTTTATAATTGTAAGTATTTTACACAAAGGACTAGACAAGTCTGCAACATGAACTATCCAAACAAACTTCTTACAAAATGCGTTATTTTTTTTCTACATTTGTAAAAGTGGTTCATTAGAGCCTCGGCTCATAATTGAAATATTCATAGTTTAACCAGAAAATATAATTGATAACAGTTAATTTACTAAACAACTGGGGCAAAAAAGGCAGGCAAGTGACGTTTCTCTGGTTATCTTTGATACCAACATGTTTTTATTGATGTGAAACATTTTAAAAAGGATAAAAAGTTAAATAAATCTGAAAGTGGGTAAAATAATTTCCCCTAATAATTTACTGTCAGCAGTGTGATGCTGTAAAATGCAAACCAAATGCCTCTAGTTTTTGCCTTTTGAAGTAATTTTTTTTTAATATCATGCTCACAGCAGCTAACACTGTACATGGTTGGTCACATGTACTTTTTGGATTTATTAAACATATCCCTTATTTATTCTGCCTCTCTCATTAAGTTGAGTCTTTTTTTGGCTATGAACAAAGCCATTCCAAGTCCCAGTGACTGACCGCTGCAATGACTGACCGCGGAGACTCTGAGCTCACAAGCTTTTTGTAGCTCTGCCTCTCAGGGCAACGACTCCCAAAAAAAGACGCTGCATCATGGGGCCCACACGTTTGTGCGTTCCCCTCTGATCTCCCCTCTGAAAGCCTAAACAGCAGCTGGTGAGATTAGAAAGGAGAGGACACTGACACACACACACACACACACACACACTCACCCTTACATAAAGTCAGTCGGCCACAACGAATCCAGTTTAGACTGGAGTACCTTTTCATCAGGGATACTTCTGAATGGACACAACTTGCGGGAATCTCTCCTGGCATGGATCAACTTATCTTTAATCTGATTTTCTAGAGATTTTCATAGATCTCATCAAATCTTATGGTGGACCTTATGTTTAATTTGAGTTTCTTTGTTCAAACTTCTTCCCTTTGGGATCTCCGCTAAGTTATACCTTTATTGACTAATTCTTCCTGGTAGGTGCTTATCAGGCTTTGGCAATGAGTTGTTTCGGTTATCGTCGAGAGCTGAGTAAGTATGAAGATGTTGATGAGGACGAGCTCTTGGCATCGCTCAGCCCAGAGGAGCTGGCTGAGTTGGAAAAGGAGTTGGTGGACATTGATCCTGATGCCAACGTGCCCATTGGACTCAGACAGAGAGATCAGACAGACAAAACCCCAACTGGTACCTTCAGCAGAGAGGCCCTCATGAAGTACTGGGAAAATGAGACCCGTAGGCTTTTGGAGAACGAGATAGCAGGAGGAAGCCCCAAACTGGTGAGAAAAACACTTAGATGGGGTTGTCAGAAATGGTTGTATGGTTCACTGAATAGGTATTTGGCCCTGGAAAGATTTGTTTTATTTTTGCTATTCTGTCACACTTCTGACTTTCACCTGTGCTGAAATGCCATTCAGGGATGAAGAAGCCGTTACCAATAAAGCAACATAAGAAGCCCAATTACAGTTTGTTAAGGCAATCAGGAAAAGTATTTCAAGAAAAAGTCTTTGGAGTTTCTCAAGAAATTAGTCAGGAAGAGGAAAATATTGGTGCAAATGGATCTTTCTAAATAACCAGAAGCTAGTCCTTCCACAGTGGTTAAAGGTCAAGATCATTTGTTGACACTTAGACACTTAGAGCCTTCAATCCTGAATCAGTGACACCACTTAAGTTAAGAGTAAATGCATGAAAATTCCATAAGAAGCTTGAAAGATGAAGAAAAGATTAAATGAGTTAAAAAATACATCCTGACAAAATGATAAAACCCCTCTCTCTTTGTCCTGGTATTTATCCAATAGAAAAAACATGAGCAATCACAGGAGACCAAAAACAAATGTTTAGCATTGTTAAAAGTCAGGCAATCAGAAAAGGCCATATGGGTTTTTATAACCATCCATTTTCCATCACACTTATCCCAAGTGGGGTCTCGAGGGGTGCAGGTGCCTATCTACAGGCGAGAGATGGGGTCCACCCTGGACAGGTCGCCAGTCTATCGCAGGGCAACACAGAGACAAACAAACAGTTGTGTTTTTGGACTGTGGGACGAGGCAGGAGTACCCAGAGAGAACCCACACATGCTTAGGGAGAATATGCAAACTCCATGCACAGTAATCAGGGAACCAAACCCAGAACCTTCTTGCTGCAAGAAAGCAGTCCTACCCACTGTTCCACTGAGCAGCCCATGTTTTTATATATTGCAGGTAAATATCTGATGGCAACTGAGTTTGACAGAGACTGTGAAATTAGAGCAAATCTTTCTGGGGTATACACATATTTTTTCCTGGTCTGAGATCTGACAAATGTGTATTAAATAATTCAACATTGAACATTTCTGATTGTTTAGCCTTAAACATCACCCATGTTCAGCCCAATCTAATAAATATATCCAAACACAGGAGGAAGAACAAGAAGATGATTGTCTGACAGAAGAAAACAGTGAAGAGGAGGAAAAAAATGATGAGAATGAAAAAGAAAGGAAAAAGTTGGACATTTCAAACAAGGAAAATCACAAAGAGGAAGATAGTGATGATGATGATGATGAAGAAGAAGAAGAAGAAGAAGAAGAAGAAGAAGAAGAAGAAGAAGAAGAAGAAGAAGAAGAAGAAGAAGAAGAAGAAGAAGAAGAAGAAGAAGAAGAAGAAGAAGAAGAAGAAGAAGAAGAGGAGGATGAAAGTGAGGAAGAGGATCCTGTAACTGAAGAGGAGGAGGATGAAGAAACTAAAGACAATAAACCAAAACCTGAACCACCAAGATATACAAAGCCAGAGACGATTCAGGCGTTTAAACCAACCCTACTGAGACCTCAGAGGGTAGAGCCCACCAGGCTGACTCCTCCTCCTCCACCAGCTGACCTGAACTCCACTGGTAACCCTACAGTTGTTGATGACGCTTTGCAACGCGTCCTTGATGATGATGCCGAACTCACAGAAGTGAATCTGAACAACATTGATGACATCAAACAGGTAAAAAAACTAAATGTCTTCTTTGCATCCCTGCAGTTTATACCAAGGCTTTCATCTTTGCTGTATGCTAGTTTCATTTTAGAATCAAATTCCTTCATTTTAGATCCTTCTGTTTCTTTCAATTGCTTTTATCAGGAAACTCTTATCCGATTTGCTGAAGCACTAAGATCCAACACCCATGTTCGAGTCTTCAGTCTTGCAAGCACCCGGGCTGATGACCACGTCGCTCTGGCCATTGCTAAGATGCTGAAAGAGAACGCATCCATTACCAGCCTGAACATAGAGTCCAACTATGTAAGTGGGAAAGGCGTGTTGGCGTTGGTTCAAGCACTTCCAGGCAACAACACCCTCACCGAGCTTCGCTTTCACAACCAGAGGCACATGTGTGGAGGACAGGTTTGTATTCAGTTCAAACCCCTTAAACATTACAGTTTTTATTAGTTGTAAATAAACACAACGGCCTGCTGCAGGTAGAGATGGAGATGGTGAAGATTCTGAGAGAAAACCACACTCTGATCAAGCTTGGTTACCAGTTTAACCTTGCTGGTCCCAGAATGAGCATGACTGGAATACTGACCAGAAACCAGGACCGCCAGCGGCAGAAACGACTGCAGGAGCAAAAGCAACAACAACAGGGCCAACAGCAAGATGGAGCCGTCAACTCCAGAACCTCTGCTCTGGTGAGCATCTTTACTTCAGGCTGCAAGACTGATTAAACCAAGATCATTCAACTCAATTCATAAAAAAAAGGGAAAAAAACAATAAAATGAAATTACACTCCTATTCAATATACCTGATTTCAGCTCAAACTCCCACTATAAAGCCCAGCGCTGTTTTTTAAATTCACCCCAGTTAATTTGATTTATTTCTATTTCATGTATTTCTAGATTCTCATCTAGCTGAATTACTAATTATATAAATATTTCATCCATATAAAGTATTTAGTAGATTAAAATCTCTAGATTGGCTGTCTGGCCCAGAGAAGTGCAGGATTACAGTTATATGTGCTTAAGGATCAAACTACTAATTGGTCTGCTTATTGTTTCTGTGGTTCAGCCTTTTACTCTTAGAATCTGGTCACCACTAAAATTAAATCTTTTATTCACCCAGATCAGAGGGAAACAGCACAGGATGAACTTTAAAAATGCTAAAAAAAGAAAATGTATTTCATAAAATAAAAACATTGAAACCCCCTAAAAATGCACCTGTAATATTCATGTAATAACTGCTTTATAATACACCCATATCTTTTTTTTTTCCACTTGCCATTTTTTCCCCACTTGCCTTTTTTTTTGTCTATTGTGTCAAATCAAAAGAAAAAAAACAATATCTTTTTAACCCGTTTTTATTTACCCATAAACTGCTTTTCATTTGCCTTCATTAAACTGCTCTATTGTGTTTAATTTCTCTTTAAAAGAGAGGAACACCCAGCTCATCGCCCTACAGTTCACCCAGGGCCTCCCCTTGGTCCTCACCCAAACTTCCCCGAAACAATGAGTTGAAAAAGCAGACTCCACCTGTACCACCTCCTCCACCTCCTCCTCCACCTCCTCCACCACCCCCACCCCCCTTGGTGCCATCGCATCAGGAGAAGAATAAACCTACAAGGATGATAGCAGAGGTCATCAAGGCCCACGAGGCAGGCAGCAAGAAGGTGGCCAAACCGAAAGGGAAGAAGGGGAAGAAGGGGAAAGGGACGGCGAAAGAGGAGACAGGCTGCATCCTGAAGGAGCTCAAGAACGCCCTGAGACCTGTGTCGGTAGAGAGACGAGGGGGGGAGGGCGGCAGCAGGCCATCGACGCCCATGAGGTCTGCCCACGACCATCTGATGGAGTCCATCCGCGGCAGCAGCATCAGGAACCTCAGACGGGTGAGGAGGGGGTCATTGTAAAGCCAAGATCATAAAACAAATTCCTTATTTGGATATTCTGGTTTGAAAAGTAGAAGCATACAAACTCTCTAAGGGGAAACATCCCAATCTAGGAGTTTAATTTTGACAAAGATGACACACAGCAGTGGTGTCTGATTCATCTTAGTCGCTGATGTGGTATAATCCGATCCTGGACAGCAGTAGGTAGTAAAGGCTGATTTACCACCAGCCTGCACTGATGTGAGCACATTGCTTTTAGAGCCAGGAAAGGACGAATACAGACAATGACAAAGTCATCCAGCCTGCATTTTTACCCTGAAGTAGATGATAAGCTGGCGTCCATAACAGAGGAATGGAAAACATAGATAGCAGGGCAAATAATGAAACCAAAAGCGCATATTTTTGAGAGCTCTGCTTGCTTTTTTTCCACCAGTAAGTGGAGATTTGAGTATTAGCCTCCCGTTGCTGCTGGAGCACAGCTTGTTACATTGTTTTGGAAAATCATCCGTGCCCTCAGATAATGGGGTCTCTGGCTGTAGCTGGTAAATTCCATCCACTCAGCACAGGTATTTATAGAAACTGTTCGCTGGGGGCTTCGATAACAGCAGACTTGACACTTTATCACATTAGCCTGGTTGAAAACAGTCAGGATGCTGCTGTTCAGTGACAAACTTTTAATGTTCTTCATCATTTGTCTCATTTTTGTCCTTTAACATAATTTGTCATTTTCCAGGTGGAAGTTCCACATCATCTACGATGAGGACGCAGAAAACAGTGATCAGCTCTGCACTATAATGGTGATAATGAGGATGACGATGATGGAGGATGAGACCATCCTAAATTCCCACTCTGAAAAGATAAAAACATATATGCTGGGAATTTGCACTCAATTTGAAATATCTTTACGTTTCATAAATATATATAATAACCCATTTTTAACGTTTTATTCTTAAAGTAATATGATTTTTTTTTAAACCTGAGTAAATACAGAATGCAATTCGTAAATGATTATTTAATTTATTAAAAGCAACCTGGCTTTGGATGAAAGTAATTTGCTCCTAAATCTCTTCAAAATTTGGGGAGGATGTGAATTTTTTTATATCCATCAGCCATATTGTATGATCAGATAGTTTCTATTTAAAGAATATATATTAAATGTCTAGTTTGAATGTGATAAGTTGAACACAGGCCAGGTTGCTTTGGATAGATTTCCCCTTAAAAAACAGTGTTTTGTTTAAATACTCTAGTTCCTTAGCCTGAAATATGATCTTTAACATTAAAGTGTGACAGGAAGCAAAAACAGCACAAAACCATCAGGGGGGAAAACATTGTTTTAACATTTACGGTCTTCTTATTCTGAAATGTTTACTGTTTTCTACATGTCTAATTCTTTGTAAGACTGTAAATATGTTTTGTTCTTAGTTGAAATATGTGTGTTCAATTCTGAATATATCATTTGCTTATTTGTAGCACTATGGAGGGAGACTTTTCTGTTTGTTCTTTGGTTATTGGATGAGTTTTATCAAAGGGGAGAAAAGTGGACAAGCTGTTATAAAAAGTTTTTTATGTTTTTTTTTTTTTTTTATTCGGAGTGAGTCAGCTTACTGGTGAGGAGCCGCTGATGCACAGTCCCTCTCAAAGACGTGGACAACACACCCACTCATCTAAGCGTGTTTTTGAGCCGTGTTTTTGCGCACTTTGTCTGATCAAATTGCAATACAGAGCCAGTGGAGAGAAAACAAACTAACGGTGACATCAGTGCTGATGCCAATATCACCAGCGTCACCTAAAAGGCTTCCTCTTTGTGTTCTTATGTAAACAGGGAAACGTGCTAAGATCCTAACACAGTCAGGGAAGCAGAGTTAACTTTGCACACAAGATGTGATAAAAGCAGTAAATTTCAAATGTTATCAAAGGGTCAGCAGAGGAAACTTTGTTTTATTACATTTTATAAAAACTGGACATTTTCTGAAATTGCAAAATGAGGCTTCGATTTGTATATCATTTTTGATAAAAATTCAATTTACTTAAAGTTGATCAAATATTATTCATGTGTTGTGTTTACGTCAGCTGCCATGATATCTAGGATTTTGCCAGAGTCTGTTTATTTATTTAAATTGCACATTTTATAAGGAGGTTTGCCCTTAAACATTAAGTTTTTTGTGCTCTGACTGTCGAAGCTCTGTGCAGTTTCCTAAAGGACTTCAGAAAGACAAGAATATGAGCTTATGGGTCTGATAAGGGTATTTATATTTCAGCTAAAGGTTTTCATTTTATAGACAAACTCTTAGGGCAACAGTTTTAGCCTTCTTCAGAGATAATCTACTTTCTTTCAAAAGAGCTGATTTCCCTCAACTCTGTTATATTTTGCAAATGTTATCCCTTTTTGAATAAAAAAAATCTTACATTTGAGTAAATTTCACTCAGACAAATTTCCCTTTTTAGCGCTGCTCCATAGTTTGATGGTTTTTCCCTAGATTTTCCTAAAAGATGTGCACTTAAAATCATTACCTTCTCTAATAAATACAGTGAGCCACTGTGGCACCATCTCTGGATTTATCCAAAACTCATTCCTGACACGTTCCTGCTCTCTAAGTGAATGTTACCTTATATTAAAGGTGAGATAAACTTGGGTGTTTATGCTTTTTAACAGCTGCTCACATATAAAAGTTAATGTAAGTGAATATTTCACTAATCTCATGGCTCAGTTTTTGTTTTTTCCTCTTCCCCATGTAGAAGAGTTGCTGTTTAAAGCCCGGTGAAGTGAAAAGGATCTAGTTACATATATTTCTTAGAGATGACAAAACCATTTATCCTCTATCGAGTAAATGGAGGGAATGTTTTCTTTGCCTTTTAGTTTATGATATGAAACATTTCCGCTTCATATTTGGTAAGAAACGAAAAAAGCATAATAAAAGACCCAAACTGAAAGAAGAGCTTATGATGGGACGGGTTGTTTGGAAGCATGGAGAGATATAAGCCTTCTAATCCTGGTCTCCTGTTTGTCTGTTTCTCCTTGACTGCACAACTGTTCAAAGTATAACAGAGACTTCAGGAGGAGGATCTTAAAAGGTAGGTCATTACCGACATAATTAAATTTTAGGCTATATTTAGGTTTTAATATAAAGCATATGTGGTTAACTGATCTTTTGCAGCTGTTTTGCTTTGCTTTGAGGAGGAAGCTTGCTGTATGCAAGGTTTCTTTTAACTGACAGAACCAGAGTTGGGTTTGTCATGCCGAGGGGCGGGGCATCCTTCCATAAAACACAGTGCAAAATTATATCGCTACTATAAAGACTCACTTTGAGGATTCTACAGAAGTCTCATTGTTTTTTAAAGAATGTTAGCACCATTCTGAAAACCACACAATATCACTGAGGCTGCTAAGATCATCAGCCATAAACTCATGCCCCCTGATTTCTCTGTCGGTGCAGTGCATGAGTCTATTGTGTCAAATTATCATTCTACTAACAGCTGAACTCATATTCAACTATCTTTGGGTATTCCACACAGCGTTTGCTGGCATGATGTGAAAGGAAACCGGGTTACATAGGAGTTCAGACATGCAACTTTAACATACAGGCTGGTTTTTACAATCTGTCATTAAGTTGATTGACACATCATAGTACTTCAATTCACTGTCTAATTTTGCACTTTTCACATTTTTTTCACACAAATTTAAAAAATGAGTCTTTGTGATAAGCCAACACTGCAGAAACAATATATCTAAAAATGTCTTAAATTAAGTGTATTTACTCTTAAGAGGGTAAATTAGATTGCATGAGTACTTTTACTTTTAATTATTAAAATAATTAGATAATATGCACTTAAAATGAAACAATGGATTTTTTTGTACTTATTTTCAATGTAAGTTGTCTTGTTCCAATAGTAAAGTGACTCACTTTCACTCCTAGATTCAAGAAAAATGCACTTATTTTAAGAAAAATAAAACTCATTTAGAAAATCTGTGTGGTAACCTTACTATTTGGCAATTCATCTTAATTCTATTAGAAAGCATGACATATTCCCTCTAAATGGGGCTTAATCTGTAAGGAAAATACATGTGGGGAAGGAGGTTTGAATATCTCCACCACTTGGAAATCATTACCCAACATATATTGTCCAAAAAATCAGAAGCACACAAACAGCAGGTCAGCAATTTTAAAAGGGGTGCAATACCAATCAAAACTTGCTAACTCCATTAGTTATTAAGAGTATAAGGAATTTTTTTCACGCAATTTCTTTTTTTTGTGTGTGTAATGTTTTGAGCAATTTTCAAGTAATGAGTCTGTGTAAAAAGTAGATTTTAAATAATGTTTAAAGATTTTTTTTTATTTTTCTTGATCATCATCATCAACAACCTTATTTGTTATTAGCTTTAAAACAGCCAACAGTTGAAAATAAGGTGCTGAACATAGCTAAAAAAATAATAAAACACAATAAAGAATAAAATACAGCATAAATATATAAATCAAGGCAATAAGAATTTCTTTAAGCTAAACAAAAAAGTTCAAAACAACCAAGTCTTGCTAGTGTTAAAAGATGGCGAACAAAAAAATAACATAAAATAAATAAATGGTGTTTTACGATTACTCCAAAAAGCCTTCCACCTCAAGGAGGCAGATTATCAAGAATGCATCCATTACCCTGCAAAAGAGCCATTACCTAAAGTAGGAACATTGATGCAGGATGTTATGTAACAAAATTATTCAAATTACCCAGCTAGATGAATAACATCAAGTCAAAACCCAAATGCTGCTTCTGCTTCTATAAAAGCTTCTGTGAGTCTCTGTCGTAACACCAGTGGAAAGTGCCATTCTTTCTCTAATCCCTTTTATAAGCTCTGTAGCTGATGAAGGTTCAGCTGATGTGGGCATTACCTAAAAATATATAGCCTGCTAATAAAAGGTTCCTTATTTTAGATCATTTATTGCATCCATAATAAAGAGCGATCAATTTAAAGAGCGGGCAACGTTTATTATTCTTTACTTTCCTCCATAGTTACTACTCCTACCCGCCTTATGGGGCAAAACATCCTCAATAAAATGTGTTTTTTCTGAAAAAATCCCATTTTAAGAAGCATGGTGCAAAGAAAAATTATACACAGCATTTTTTGTGAAGATCAAACTTTTATTGGAGTTTACAACATTAGAGTTCAATACTTCTCAAGTCTCTTGAAGGACCTGGTGTCATTTTTTTTTTTACTGTCCTAAAGTAGCTAACAGAGAATTATGGCTGCTTTGTTTCTTGCCACAGAGCTTTATTACACTTTAACAGGTCTCTACCCCAGTCAAACAAGTGGCACTTTGTCTTTCATGGTCAGAACATTTAAGATCGACAGTTTGTTTTTTGTAAAAAGGCAAAAAGAAAAAAAAAAAGATCATAACCAGCAGAAAAGGACCCGAAAATATATATTTGTTTGTGATCTGGTGGTCAGCTACTCAAGTTATCAGTAAAAGCTGCTATTTCTCAGGCAATTGGCATAAGAACTAAGGTTATTATCAAACACCTGTTAATCTTATTTCAAAGTTACCTTAATCAATGACACGTCATTAAAGGGAAATTAAGAGGAATATTTAGAGCTTAATGAGCTGCTTATTGAACCTAGAATGTGGGGTTGAGCTAGAACAGCTTCCAATAGAAATGCAACTTAAAAGAGGAAAAAAGGTTTTTCCATCAGCTTAGTTTCCTTATGAACAAATGTTTAAACTGTATAGCTGTACGCAAATCTAACTTCTGCTTATTTTTCTTTAGGATTTACTTTTAACATGCTTTTTTTTTTTTTTTAAGCAACACACCAATTTAAATCAGCAGTGTTTCTGGATCATTCAGGCTGATTAACCTTAATTTTTCCATATTTTTTACTCCTGATCAAAGTAGTTAGATATTCCCCTGCAGGCTGATTTTACTTAAATTGATTTATTTAGGTAGGAAAGGCGGAATTAGTACAGATGTGAAATAGAAGATGGTCTTTATCTTGCACAATGAAGTTCTGCTTCTTTATTTATTAGATTACATTTTGCATTTCCAGATACATGTGCTTTGAAAGTAGCAGAAATAAGACTGCTTTTAGCTGTGAACCTAGCTAGTTGGCTGGGCTTTACAGATTATAAGTTAATTATTTTGCAAATCTCAAATTTCCACTTTCAAGTCTCCTGTACCAGTTAGAAATGTTATCTTTCTTTGGTATAAAACACTTTCCTAAACAGGCTGGAATAAAGAGAGTCAGTTTCCTGCAGCCGATAGAAGCTTTTCCTGTTAAAATTACACATCTATTAATTCCTGGAGTGACTTTTCTGGGTATAATAAACATTACATTCAAGTTGCAAAATGAATAATGCCCGTTTCCTCAAAAATAACCATAAGAGATTTCACTGTTCTAAGCAGTGAGGGGTTTTGCAGCCATTTGCTTGCTGCACCGTTATGCTGAACTTCACTAAAGCAGAACCAGATATAAAGGGAACGTTTACTTTTAAGATGCCAGTGAGCACCAATCCCAGTAACAGTTGAGAAATGCTGTGATGTTTTTACATTATAAAGCAGCTAAAACCAACATGGTGAGATGTAGGAAAGGTTAGCATGAACCCATTATAAGAATCAGTGTGCAAAACTAAAATATCTTTATTTTAGCATCACAGGATGATTTACCTGATTACAATAAACATACATTTATTAACACTCCACTTTCTAGTGTAAAAAAAAAGGAACAAATGAGCTCAAGTTCAATTTAACCTGTAGTGTTGCAGAGATAAAACGGTTTATAGTGTGACAGATAACCAGTTCATATCCTTATTATTTAAAGTATGTATTTTAAATCATGATGCAAACCTTAAAATCTATAATCCCGCAGAAAGGCTCCACTTTTTTCATCCGTGCAAAAATATAAAGACTCAAAGTTTGGAGTAAATTTAAATTCCACAGTGAATGGAGCTAAATCCAAAATGTGCCATCTTCCTTTTTTTTCCATAGTTTTTTCTTAAGAAAATATGACCAATAAACTAGAATTATTTATTATTTGAATATGTAAAAAATAAACTACAGAGCAACAGGATATGAAAATAACTTTCTTTTCTCACTTTCTATTAATGTTACAAATATCTAAATCTGTGGCAACTTGTCTCGCTTTCACGTAAACCATCATCAATCCAGAAAGAAGAAATAAAGCAAACATTTAGCTCAAACGCTTAAGAGACATTTAAAATTGCACATTAAGGAGAGAAATAAGGATCATGTGTGAAGGAAGATTTGAAAAAAGGCAAACAGAGGAACAAAAATAGGAACAAAGGAAATAAGGAAAAATAACCCTATCAACGATAAAGGACAACCTCTAAGATTAGACCGACAAACATTGATAGATTAAACGAGGTATTGCACAGATTAATAAAAAAAAAAAAAAAGCATAAAGGCAACAAGAAATGTACAACAAACTAATAGAACATTTATAATTATAATCATGAAGTCATTGATTTTATTTTATTTAAAGAAACTGGGATCAATTTTAGTGTCATGGAGGGGGGAAAAAAAGAAAAGATTCACTCGTCATCCCATTCATCATCTTCCTCAAAGTCCTCATCGTCGTCGTCATCATCATCGTCATCTGAGGAGAAATAGAAACATAGAAATCGTTGTTTTTATTTATTTATAAGGAGACGGTGGAAATATTTTCAAAGATTTAAAACTGGTGTAAGAAATGAATTAGTAATATAAAAATACGAACATCATTATTTAGAAACAGGAGGAATGCTGGGAAAGTAGCAGTAGAGTTGAGATTAGATAAAATAATCTAAGATGATAAGCCAATAAAAAAAAATAGGGGAAGGCTCCAAATTTTTCTCTTATATAAAAGAATGTAATCTATAAAATAGCAGTTAAAAACTTCGAAAATATTTAAAAATTGTTTTATCCATTCAATTAATCTATAGTACTCTCTATATTATAGAGTATATAGAGAGTAGAATGGCAGATGGAGAATGCTGAATGTTTATGTACCCGAGGAGTGAATAGCTTTGCTTCGTTTCTGCATGGCCGCCATCAGCGCTCCTACGATGCCCGCTGTAGGGGCTGCGTCAGCTGGCGCGGGCTCAGAGTTATCATCCCTCTGCAAAGATGGGAAAGCATCATCAATAAGTCCATCATATTCAGGGATTGTTTGCAGCTACAGGCAGCTGACTGGAAAAAGAGAGAGATTGGCACTAACAGATTTCAGTTGGATTCCTTGTCGGATCTGGTCCAGAAGTGCATCTCTGCCGCCGGAGGAAACCGGTCGCTCCTTCTGTTCCACCTTCTTCAGCTGGGCTCCGTCTCTGATCTGACTCAGCAGCGCAGACTTGCCATCCCCTCCGTTAGCCTCTATAGAGGGTGGGGGAGGAGGTCCAGGGGGTGGGGGAGGTGGAGGTGGTGGCGGAGGAGCGCCGTTGCTGGATGACCCCGAAGAAAGCGGAGGAGGTGGCGGCGGCGGAGCCACTGGCATGGAGGCATGAGCCGGGGCGGGGGGCGGTGGGAGGGCGCCTCGGCTGGGTGGCGGAGGCGGTGGAGCGGACAAACCCGGACGGGATGGAGGCGGAGGTGGGGGTGCCACGACGGGAGGCCTGGAGTGGGGAGGGGGCGGCGGGGCGCCCCGTATAACCCGGGATGGAGGAGGAGGTGGAGGAGGAGCGCCAGAGCTGTGATGTTGGGGTGGAGGGGGAGGAGGGCCACTCCTGGGCGGAGGTGGTGGAGGAGCTAAAAACAAAAACACAAAACAGACCTTAAAAACAGAACAAACTGGGACACTTTTCATGACCGAATGTCAGCTGCTGTGAGCACAGAGTTTCATTTAGCTTATTCCTCTGGTGAGGAAGTCGCCATCAGCAGGCGGCTCTGCCAAACCAAACCATGCAATCAAAACGTTAAGCCATACAGGATCAGCTTTTAACCTGCAGCTGATCTCAACCGTGTTAGTAAGACTTCCCTGACTTTGTCATTATAAACAGTTCGCATTTTAACAGGATTTTATGCAGCAGAATCCTTAAAGCCTGTAAGGCTACAACGGGGACCAGTTTGTGTCTCACTGCACTAAGGTCAAAGTTCAGCAAATTTAAACTAACTGCTAAAGTCAGTTTAGCACGCTGTGTTCTTTGCTCAGCATAAAGCAAAACCAGCCAAACATGGTGAAGAAAATACAGATTAAAGAATTTAGAGATTAGCACTGCAGGAGGCAAAAAAATGTCAGAAACTGGCTCTATTTACAGAAGCAGCCGTTAATGTGCTCTGGGTGGCCTAGTCAAAGACTGACTGAAAGACCCTTCCAACTGAATCTGGGCATATTTTACTGAGAACAATGTAAATGTTAGAGTTAACGTGGCCCATGCATAAAATCCCCTCAAAATACTTTGAAGTTTGTCGTCATAAAGTGACAAAACGGTTTAGATAAACAAAACTTGAGAAACAAACTGTTATCAAGTTCCAGTTGCAAGTAAAAATCTATTCTTTCTTGCATAAATTAACATGCAAAGAGTTAAAAAAGTCAACCAGGGTATTGAAATTCTTTAGATTCTCATTATATTGTTCAATAAAATACCAGAAAATATATTCAGCAAGTCTTGTGACAGAGCAGCCAGCTGAGGTATCATTAAAGTTTGGAACAGCACAGAACGTCTGCAGAGACCACAAACACTTCATGGTGGGACTCTGAGCACCACTGCACATGCAGCGTCATTTTTAAAGGCAGGTCATGCACAGAAACCTACCGCTCCACCTGGGCGGACCTGGGGATAGAACCACCACAGCAGTTAGATTGTCAGTTACAGACAATCAACCCATTTAAGAGAACTTCCTATTATTTTAAAAATAAAACATCCAAATACTATGGAAGAGGATTAGGGCCACTGGAAAAAAAAAAAAAAAAAAAGTTAACTGATTTTTAAATTTTATTTCAGTTTAGTATGGGAAAAAAGCCAGGTTTCTGACAAAAAAAATCAGAACTTGGAGATTAAAGTCAGAGTTCTGAGATTAAAGTCAGAGTTCTGAGATTAAAGTCAGAGTTCTGAGATTAAAGTCAGAGATCTGAGATTAAAGTCAGAGATCTGAGATTAAAGTCAGAGATCTGAGATTAAAGTCAGAGATCTGAGATTAAAGTCAGAGATCTGAGATTAAAGTCAGAGATCTGAGATTAAAGTCAGAGATCTGAGATTAAAGTCAGAGATCTGAGATTAAAGTCAGAGATCTGAGATTAAAGTCAGAGATCTGAGATTAAAGTCAGAGTTCTGAGATTAAAGTCAGAGTTCTGAGATTAAAGTCAGAATTCTCACTTTTTCCCCCATACTAAACTGAAATAAAATTTAAAAATCAGTTAACTTTATTTTTTTTTCCAGTGGCCCTAATCCTCTTCCGTAAAATACAGTCATAGACCATACATTTGGATTTTCAAATGTATTGAATATGACAGTAGAACCCATTTAGCAGCTATTTTTTCCAATTCATCTCGAACTACGTTTTGTTTTCTACACGGTAAAACCCCACCGTGAATCTAAATTTTATGTGAACGGAGAGCAGAGGGTGTGGTTGCAACAGTGGGACCGTCTTACCTTGTCTCCGTACCTCGTTTTTGACCGCTTCCACGCCTCCATTTTTCTCAATGAAGTCGTAGATGGCCTTCGAGGTCTCTTTGTCCTTTAGCTGGGCCTCGGAGATGCCGGCCAAATCAAACAGGTTCTTCAGCTCTGGGTCCAGGTTATTCATCTAACAAACAAACACAGTTGAGAGAAAAAATAATTAAACAAATGTTTTGTCCAATAACCTCAGAGGCTGCAAAGATCAGCCGTATTATACTAAATTTAAATTCATTTCTGATAAATTATTTACCCATACCGGATTTATGAAGGCAATTGGATTAAATTCTGTCTCTTTTAAAGAAATCCAAATTATACACAATTGAATTTGTGGTTACAGCCAGCCAAAAATGTGGTAGAATACAAACTAGCCCCCTCCTAGAAGAAAAAATAAAATAAAAATCTGAATATAACTGAAAAATAACTCAAATTTGAATGGTGCATCTTTACACTAGCATAAATAGATATGTAAATGTTAAAGATTTTAGTAAAAAAATAAAATAAATTGTTCTATCATGCTTCCATTTTTAGAGAAGTCATGATTTTTTTATTCAAAGCTGAAGGTCAGAAGACATTTTACTTGATGCATTTGTTTAATGTTTTGAGCTAAACTTCTTGGAAACTTCCTGAAATAAGAGACCACTACCTGTTGCTCTGGCTCCACCTAGTGGTGTATGTTTGAACTGGATTGTTTTGCTCATCAAATCAAACCCCATGTTGGACAGTCTCACACTGTGATACTGAAGTTAAAGTCAGAAGGTTTCATTTCACAATTACTGGATCACGATCTAGCCATTTTAATGATGATTCCACTTTTCATAAGGCTCCTCTAATCTAGAGTCAGTATTTAACTGAACATGACTTGACAAAAGCGCTTTAAATATTTAAAAGGAGAAAAGAATTGCCATTGAAACTGAACCATTACTCTGGAGCAAAAATAGCAACTGATAAATGAGCTACCAAAAAAAAAAGAAAAATCTTAAGTCCTTGGCTTAATAAACCTGCATGAGCTATAATCTACCATCTTGGATCCAACAGTTTCCCCGATTGTTCTCTTTGGAACCTGAACTGCAGATTATGCAGATGCAGGTTGGTTCTCTTCCCCCGCACGCAGCCCGGATTAGCGTTTAGAGGCTGATATTAAATTTCAAATAACCGCCTGACTGTCAGACGGATACATTTTAAGAAGGTCTAAATGTCATGCACTTGTGACATGCGAAGACACGCAAACAAACATGAACTCTGAATAACTGCTGCTTACATCAAAGCCGGTGTTTGGATTCCATCCTACGTGATTGACATGCCTGTAAGAAAAACACAAAAAAGTGCACGTTAATCCAGTAAGATCTAAACTGTTGTTTATGGAGGAAAATTGAAGAAAAAAAAATGTGAAGCCAGGTTTAAAGAAAAAGTTTAGGGCAAAAAGGAAAGGTTGAAGGAAGGAACAGAAGTTGAGAAAGAATGCAGTGAAGGAGAATATTTAACCAACTGGACAGGAAATAAAGATGATCAGCTGTTTAAATTCCAATTAAAATCCCTTTTTTGTCCTTAACATCCATTAATCAGGTTATAATATCCTTGCAGTTAAGTAAGATGTTGGATCTAATGAGCTCAAGGTCATAGAACAAAAACTAAATGAGGAAGTGGGTCGAGTTGACTGTATCTATCCATGACCTGGATCAACTTTAGGAGCAGCAAAGGTTACTCACTGGAAGTTGCTGGGTGTGCCGATGTCTGCCTTGGTCAGCCTCTTCCTCTTCCCCTTGTCTTTGTCCTTTTTGATCCTCCTGGGGAAGGAGGCGTGCATGAGGTTGTTCACCTGAGAGTTGTTGTGAAAGCGATGAACATTGTTGATTTCGGGGTTTTTGATGTCCGTGGTAGCCATGGGCAACGCCGGTCCTGGAGAAACGGATTGTACGGATATGGTAATGTTAACCTCAATCATTAAACAAATAAATATAAGGCATTTCAAACATTAAGCCTGGTTTTTACATTGTATATTCTGTAAGTATCAAGGCGACAGGCTAAAATGAAAATCATTAGTTTTTAATTGTTTATACCCCCCCAAGACAATAACTCCAATCTAAATTAAGGTATATTCTTTGTAGAGCAGTCTTAAACTGGCAGGAATGAGCACCTTTGGGTAATCTCTACATTATAAAGGACAAATATTAAGTTTTCTAATAGGACTTTGATACCAGTTGCCAAAACTTTGGTTAGGATACAGGTTTAAAGACATATTCTGTCTTTGTTTTGTTCCACTCTGCTTACTTGGACAGAGAGCATCTGAATTGTGGTTATGGAAACATTTAGGCGATGGTGACGCCGCCCGAGCGCATCGCCCTCCCACCCTTCCCCATTCTCCGACGTCTACCAGCATTTTACCAGCCAGGCTCTGAGCTCGTCCCTCTGTGCCAACGGGGCGGTCGGAAAGAGTCGGATAGAGTTCATCCTGAGGGAGAACCAGGCAGTGAAATGAAGAAAGACAGCCTGGACCCAACCCACCACAACCAGCAGCTACCGGAGCTGCTCCTCCTACAATCCCACCCTCAGAATAAAGCTCCTCAGAGGGGGCAGAAAGAAAGGTTGTGCAGAACATCATTGCAGCTCTTGGACCGGATCCCAGGTGAAAATCAGCATTGATGCAAGAAAAATTTAAATTAAATATGTGAAGCAGGAAGGACGTCCACTTAGACTTCCAGAGGTTCCAGTTTTCACAGCAAGGAGGATAGTGGGGTATACAGCCGGTAAAAGATGGGAAAATCCTCTTGTTTTTAGTCCCACTCTACAGACTTTGTCTGCATGAACCTTGGTTGAAAAAGACAAGTTCAAAAGCTGAACTACAAAGGCAGATGTCCAGTATCACCAGCCAGCAGCTGACGTACATCCATCCCACTCCATTCCCAACTGGTGGGAGCACAACGCTCAGTTTGGCTTGCCAGGATGGGTTCGTCAGCCATGCTCCTCTACTACCAGCTCCTGGTCTCACCCTGCAAAACACGCAACTGCATCTAATCCCAGAAAGGGATTCTGGACGTACTGCTGCTGGCCTTTACGTAACCACTAAAACTTATCCGGGGCATAATCCCATATTAATCTCTGACGTTTCAAAAACACGATGATTCTACAGGATGGGGGGGAAAGGAGGCAGACAGTCAGAGACGGGATGAAAATGGGGAAAAGATTAAATGAGTGAAGAGGGGGAGCGGCTGAGGTCATCGATTAGGAGAGAATGGCTGGAACAGGAGAAGGTGGAAGGGAAAAAAAGACTACAGCTGGGATGATGGGAAAATGACAACTGAACATTTAACCCAAAACAAACAGCGGACATGAAAATCCAATGGACCTCTGTTAAAAAGCCAGCCTTTTCTTTTAAATGAGAGAAATCATTTAAAGTACTATTAGGTGTAGATTTCAAAGGCAAAAAAACACTGGTTAGGTAAAAATAAACAAGATGCGATTAATTCCTAAATGGAAGATCCTGTTTGAAATGGTTTTATTTGACTAGATAGATTTATTTTTAAGAGTTACTGCGTTGCCATAGTAATGACTGCTTTCCCTTTCAGTTGGAGAGAAGAGGCCACGCCATTCATGTTTAAACCCCCCCCCCCCCCTATACAATCCAGGCGCCTTCCACAGCTGTGAGTGAGGGGTCCGCAAGCCATGGCTCTTTAGCACCCCCCTTGCGGCTCCCTGGAACTTTAAAAAAAATGAAAAATGTATTTTTTTTTGTTTATTTATTTTAATATGGTGTGTAGGAGGTCAAACAGGCATTCATTATGTTTCCCAATGCTGTAAACATTTGTATAATAAATACATTTAAATAATATATGTAAACATTTATTTCAATGAAAATCATAGCCATAGAGTTCAGTGGTCAAAGCCTGCAACACATGTCTTAGCGCAATTCCTGCTTGGTTCCTCATGACTCAATCAACTCCACCCAACAGAAACACGTCCACCATAGAAAGATTCATTGAATGCGTTTCCATAATTTCATCAATGCAACAAAACTTAAACCGCGCGGTGAAGGGCGATGAAGCAGCGTGCGATGAGTGTTCACTGCTCCTCCCTCACCTCATGCTGCTATGTGACATTTGCTTCAGGATAAACATTTAATCATAAAGGCTTATTATATATTTAAGCCCAAGTAGTCATTTTTTTAAAAGTGGTCTAATACTTAGGGACCCCGTGTTTGTTTTTTGTTTTTTTAGGTCCAATATGGCTCTTTGAGCCGTTTGGGTTGACGACCCCTGGGTTAGGGGACGTTTGGGATTTAGCCCATGCCACCAAACAGCTCAGTGATTACCTGTAGCCTTATATAGTACATAGGCTCACTGACTGATTACAAGATTGTAGACACCTGTGATACTAATTAGTGAATACACCTTGATTTAAGATGTCCCTTTGGTCACGTTATTTTCATTCTTTTCTAAGGTCACCATTTTTATTTAGGCCTGTTTCACATACCCCCCCCCCCCCCCCCCCCCAAATTAAATGCTAAATTTTTGAAGAATTGTTGAACAACAATGTCCGACTTTGATTTGCTAATATTCATAGAATTTTTATTTACCTCTTTTTAATATTAAGTTATTTCTGTTACCAAAGTATTTTTTTTTTCATTTTCATTAATCGAGGGGTACCAACAAGTTATCCACATGTGTGTATGGAAATGGCATCTTATAGTTCTTTTAGGCTGTTATAAAAAGGTTGCTTGCTAATGTGAAAACTTTAGTGCAACAAAGCCGAAAAGAAAAGGTACTCATTAAGGACGCTAGTTTGTTTTTAAAATATGAAACTCTACTAATCTACTAATTAAGCCCTCCCACTCCCGAAAAAACACAAACTGTATATATAAAAAAAAAAAATTTAATAAATGATTAAAATAAAGCAAGAAAGGATCTGAGGGTATCTGGTCAAAGTATTTGGGTGTAATTGCTTACTGCAACCACAGGGGGGCGTTAATCACCAAGTTTCTGTCAGCAGCAAAATGGATTTTCACCAAGAAAAATTTAAAATGTAGGATTTGGATGTGGTATTCAGCATTTCAAAATAGACAATCAAAAACCTACCATTTGGAGGTTCCCGCCTCTTCTCTGTGAACAAAAATAAATCACATCATTACAATCCAGAGTTTAATCCTTCTTTTAATTAGTGGAGAAAGGAAGAGAGCGCCAAAGAGTGCCCAGATGTGGAAGAAGAGTGCCGGGTATTTGCATTTCCGGCGGAGGAGTCAGTAATTGGAGTGGAGTCAGCAAGAAAACTGATGTTAGAGAGTTTAGAAGTCGAATCTTCCAAGTCACAGTTTGAAAAGATATACTTGTGCATAAAAAGCAAGGAAAACAAGGTAGAAAAGGTGACTTCAAAAATATGTTTGACTTCCAGAAGTTAAAATTTAAAAAGGGAATGCCGTTAGTCATAAATTGCAGACGATTCAAAAGAGAAGAGATATAAAGACAATGAAATGAGCTAAAGAGTTAAAATGAAACTGGTTTTAAAATCAAGCTTGTGACGACAGCGGTGATGAAGAGGTGTTGATAAGTTTATAAAAGCACGGGGAAAGTATGAGTCCGAGGGAAAGATAAGACAGAGCATGGTCCAAAGTTTGAACAAAAAAAAAATGATAGTGGTGCTGAAGAATGAGTGTTGTTAGACAAAGATGACATTTTCAGCAAATAACAGCCTTACAGGATTTCAATGCAAAAAAGATTAAATGGATCATATAGGTTTATTAAAGTCACAGGGATATATTTTAAGTATTCAATTCAATAAATTTAAATGATTATGGCTTACAGCTGATAAAAAAAGAAAAAAGAAAATGTGCTTTGAAAAAATTTGAAGTTCTTAAAAAATGCCAGTGAAAAAATGTAATTTAAATAGAAATATCAGCCATCTAAAATGACTACGCTCACGTCCTAAACAGTATCAGCAGTTTGAGTTGATTTAGGATCAATAACAGCATCAAGATACTTGTAATTTTTACTCTTCAATGGCTTTTCTAGTACAGACTTCGACCTTTTCCCCGTTCCCTGCACTCCCATTATCAGCCATTCAACTTTCAAATGCTTTATTGGAGATGTATGATCTTAAAATCTTCTTTAAAAAATGGATTTTAGGTTTTCAGTATCAGTGGGATTTAAGTTAATGAACACTATCACTTAAAATAAATCCCTTTATAGAATGAATCTGACCTGAATTACTCAAATAGAAATTATTTTTTAAGATGTTTAAATTTAAGGAGAGGCACCTGTATCTTCCTGATTTTCTTACTAAATGTACACTTTTTTAAAGTGCAACATAGGACTGAGAATGGAAGAGATTTTAAGGAGAGGAACAGAGGAGCTAAAGAAAAAACAAAAACAAATTGTTATCATAAATCAGCTCTTAAACATTGACAAGTTTAGACATGCATTTAATTCTGTGCTCCTAGAAGTTTAAACTAACAGCTGTTGTAATAATTACACAATAATTAATAATTAAATAATTTTGAACAAGGTAAAAATTGTCGTTGCACAGGATAGAATGCCTTAATCTCGTCACTGTTTTTAGCCTAGCACACCATGAACTTTTCCACACGCATTGATGAGTTCATGTGACGGACCAAAACTCAGTAGCACAATATTCAAAAATGGTAGAAAAAGCAAACAGGAATGTATTTTATTTGGGGGTACATCCTTGATGTAATGATGTGCTACTTTGTGTTGGAACATCTCATGAAATCTCCACCAGATTCAATAAGAAATGCGGCACCATCATGACTAAATGTGAAAAAGTTCAGAGTGTGTAAATACTTCTGTTAGGAATGGTGTAAGTGGTGATTTAAGCGGGTAAATAAGTAGCAAGGTGGTACCGGTTCTCCTGCTTTTCCTCATTGTCAGGTCCATTACGGTGTTATAGAAACGCCTGCACTCCTCTTCGCTGGTGAAGTTCAGACCCACTTGGCACGTCTGAGAAAGCACATGGATAAAAAACAAAACGATAAAAATGTAGCCTCAGTTAATGACGCATAAGGCGAGGGAACGAAGCTTCACCGCCATCGTGAGCAATCCCACACACAACATGCTGCAAAGTGGGCCACTGCACCCACCAACATGTGACTCAACATATGGAGATAAATCATCATGGTTCATCTCAAGTGGGAACACACCAATGATATGAAAGAACTACTCTTGGACACCAGGAAAAATAAAACAGGTAGAGACGACTTACGTCTCCAGCAAATGTGATGAAGTAAGGTCTCTGTTGGTTAGCAGTGAATCCATTGTACAGTTCCTGTTCAAATGTCATCCTAAACTCCTGTGGAAGAGAAAAAAACAAGCTGTTATATGAACAAAATTAGCTCAGCAATGATCAGACTGATACAAAACACCATTAAGGCTATTCTTAGCTGCTAAGTGGGTGTAAATCACGTTTTACATTCATAGTGGGCCCTCTCCACAGCTTAAATACAAACATATCAGCACCTACCCTGATGTCGTAGACCCTGATGAAATAGGAGCGTTTGGGGTTGTCTTTGACCAAACAGGCCGCCCCGCAGCTTTTTTTGTTCCAGCTGCCGTTACGGTCTGCGTGGAACACCTGGACCACTCCTGAAGCCAATGCCTAGAGGAGGGAAGGATGGAAGAGAATCAGGTTTCTGCACTTTTAAAGATAACCACAGAATCAGACACGCATGAAAAAAATACTGGGTGAGGTGATCATCTTCAGGATGATCAGAGGTTTAGTTATTTTTGTCCCCCGAATGTGATCTTCCTCAGAGATTTCCCTCAGCAGTGGGCATAGATGACAGTGAAGTTTGAGCCAAAAGGTCAAATCCATTACTGGAAAGCAGAGTTTTACTGAAATCATAGAGCCTTTCAAACAAAGCAGCCATGTAGGTCTTGATAATTACTTTACAATCATATTAAGATAATCGCAGGTTGTTTTTTTTTTTAATTTGGGCTTATTACAGCTCAAATTACTTCAGAAAAAAAACCCTTTTATTACCTTTTATTCAATACAAACCACATTCTACTTTGGCGACAACAGTGGATCAACCCTAGTACCAAATATAAATCCATCTTTAATGCTTTCCATTTTTAAACAGCTCAAAACCTTCGTATAGATGAGATTATGCTAATGGAGACTGGATAACTGGAATAGTGGAGATCCAACTTTAAAACCTTGGGAAACTCTGAAGGATTTAATTTGGTTATATTAATACAAAGACAAAAACATCAGCCTTTGGCTGGAAACTAGAGTGGCAAGGTTTATTGCAACACAACTGTTGAAATTTGCAGTTAAAAAAAAAAAAAAAAAAATGGAAAGTTCAATAATTTATCAAATAATTTTCTTCATCCCATCTATGAGCTTTGGTATCCGAGCCACTACAAAAACAGATCTGGTTTTGGCCTTAAGGGAAGGTCAAACCAATCCTTGAGGTTTCCATCCCCATCATACAGTTCTGTTCTTACTACTTTTCACTGCAGAACATGATGGTACGCAGCAAAAACTTAAACATAAGTAAGGAAGTTTCTCTTGATATATGTGTTTTTCCATTCTATTTTAATAGGTAATACAGTTCTCCAAAGGCATTATTTTTTCCATTAATCGATTAATAATCGTACAGCCAAAAGGTTCCTCAAAGAAGACTTTTTACAAAATTAAACTAGGTGAAGGTATTTGCAACCTTTTCAGAGCACAAGTGCACTGCTCTATCCACTAGGCCATCACTCAATGGATAGAGCAAAATATTTACATATTTTAATTTACAATTTTGGTATAATTGATCCAATTGGGTTGCTTTGTCGGCTAAAGGCATCTTTTAGAGTCTCTATGCTCCAGTCTTTGATTAATCGATTACTAAATTCATTGACGATTATTTCAATATTCGATTAATCCGATTAATTGTTTCAGCCCTATTTAGGTTTAGAATTGAAAAAAAAAAAAAAAAAAAAAAAAAAAAAAAAAAACTCCATTAGCTTACTTTAAAAGCCTCTTTCACAGTGAAAAGACCGGATTACTGCGTGTTTTTCAAACACGAGTCGACCCGGTAACAATCGGCATTTGGCTCCCCTCACACTGGCAAAAAAAGCTGGCTCTAATCTGTAGCTGGCAAGCTGCATGCCGTCTGTCCTCCCACAGCTGCACGTCTGGTGACACCATCATGTTGGGTTAGCGTTGATGTCACCAGTGTCTCAGAAACCAGGTAAGTAAACAATGGAGAGCAACACGTAAGGATGCAAGGGTGAGTAAGCGTGTTTTGCTCTTTTATCTGTCCAAATCTCTCTTACCAGCGCTGCGCCATGTTTATCGGATGTAAACAATGTTGTTTTGGCCTGTTAGATCAGATGCAACTGGTGCAGTGTGTTGAGGTCTGCAGGTTGAGCTAAATTAGCAGGTCAACCGGGCTCTGGTGTTCCCACAACACGCCGATCAGAGCTAAGGTGATTTTAGCACGGGTTGCTTGCAGAGTCGTTTGACCCTGGTAGACACGAGTCAGTGAGCTGTTCTCACCGCAACTAAAAGATGTTTTTTTTGGCCAGTGAAAAAGGGTATAAGTTCAAAAAAATACAAATGCTGATATTAAATAAACGTTTTAAGAAATGTTTACTTATTTTTAGAGCATTTCCTGTGTTTCCCCAACGCTGTCGGATGGTGACATCCTTTAGCTTAAATAATTATCTGCTCTAATCATAACAGCATTAAAGTACCCAACTAGAAAGGTATTAAAAGCAAAAAAAATAATATTCATCCGAAGCCTAAAACACAAAAGGCTTTTACGTAACCCTAAACCTGTGTTCGCCTCCTCCTTTAAACCATATGAGGATAAGCAAAGCAGACTTCCCAGCAATCTCTGGAGCAGAATCTGCCATATCAACACATCGCGTTGAAATTTGCAGCAGAACACTGAAGGCTTCCTTGTTTTCTTGCAAATGAAGCCACAGGAGTCTGACTTACAGAAAGCTCATCAGCTTCAGAGTGGAAAAGTCTGCCATAGGCTAACACCTGTAGAGCATAGAAGCAAGATCATAAGGCCAGATTAGCCTCCTATAGTTTTTACATGCTGCTTGGGGCGTTTGGGGCTTGGATCTGGTTTCACAGCCACTAAAACACACACACGCACAAACACACACACATGAAAGCAGGAGCATCAGGAAAGGAAATACCTGGTGGGGCTTTTGGTCTGCATTACTGCACCCAGTTCCAGGAATCACTGCTTACAACAACATCTGCTCACAAACTGCCCTAAGAAACTCAACAAAAAACGCCCAAAAGTGAGAAATTAAATGACATAGAAGCAGCATGTTCTTATTATGCTTGCAGGCCCTTTGGTAATATTATGCAACAGCTTTACGAGTATTTTTTTAATGCATCACAATGTTGTCAAAGAGCTTCATGTCTCCACAAAGCTCTGATTTTTCCTGACAAAGCTAAAGGCTGCAGAAAAAAAAAGGGGGGGGGGGTGTGTGACATCACCAAACGGCCTCTTTATTCATGTACTACTTCTCCAACATAGCGATGATCCAGTGATGTAAGCCTAACTTCTGCACAGTCTGTCCTTATTTATTCAGATCAAGATGACTTCACTGTTCTAAAACCCTTGAGCTCTACAGGCCGTCTCTCTCTCCCTGTAAAAGCTACAGAGACATTAAGAAAAATGCTAAGGAAAGTATCGTAAATGTGATTTGCAGGCAGGCAAAGAAAAGAAAACTAAATGTCTAAAACTTAAGCTGTCTAAGCGAAATAAAAAATAGATGACTCAGGAAAAACAACAGAAGGCAATGAGAAAATCTGAACCAGCAAAAAGAAAAAGAAAACAGACCCCCCCTTCCAATAAAAGAAAAAAAAAGAAGAAAAATCCAGAGGAGGTCGACTATGAACTTCCTGTAGGACACGACTGCTGATTAGGCAGTCCACACAAACACGCATGCAGAAGTGGAGCTGTTCCACCATTTGCCCAATGAGACGCCACTTCTGATGCTGGAACCAGCAGGAGGAATACTAATGAGTAAACCAATCAGTGAGTTCGTTGTTAAGCATGTACCTGTCAGTGTCTGGCATGTCAACAAGATTAGAGCATCACTATAAAGAAAACCAGACACATTCTGTCCCATTAAAAACAGCTACTTTGATTCTTGCCTTTGAGATATAAAACTTTCATCCAACTAGGAATGAACTAAAACCTGAAGGCTGATATGTGCGCTTCTATTTTTTATTGGAACAAGATCACAAAATCAGAATCAGTTTTATCATCAACCCATCAAAGATTGAAAATACAATAAAAACACAGTTCCTACACTTTTATAGGTCCAGATTCCAGACTTTTCCTAAACATCTTCCCAGAATCGGCAGTCCTTTACTGTTCACTTTAAACTAATAAAAAAATCACCATAACTATATGGAAAAAGAGGAAATAAAGAACATATGGGACATGTAGTAGGAAGGAAACAAAAGAGGAGAGGATAAAGTGAAAAAGTTGGCATGAATCACAGAAAGAAAAAATAGGGAAACGAGGAAGTCGGGAAAGAGAGAGGAAGATAAATTTAAAAAAGGATATAGACAACAAATATATGTTATTATAAGGCTGATGCTTCGAGTGTTTACACAAGGAGAGCAAGGATGGAAGGACAGAGGCAGAAATAAAGAAGGACACAAGGCCTGAAAGAAAGGAACAAAGGAAAAGACAATCACAGGTACTGAGAATCAGAAGACCAGAAGAGGAGAATTCTAAGAAAGAAACAGAGGAAAGAACCTAAGCGAAGAAGGAAGGAGTCCTGCAAAGAGAAAGAAACCACAAAAAGGAACAAATATTTTCCCAATTCTCTTCTTCTATACCAATTCAGAGCTGGAAATACAGGAAAGGCTGGAATCGAAACATGTTTTCTCTGCCAACTTTTCCAAGACCTTGTCCTTGTTTCTTAATAATCAGAAATGTTTAGAGGAATTTACTTCCTGCTTCCACTTTACCGCAACAGGTGGAGCAGAGGAGTCAAACTCCAGTTCTCAGGGGCCAGAGTCCGGCTACTTTTAGATATGTTGGTGCTTTATTACATCTGAATTAATCAATTACATTTTTGTTTTTCCTCTACACCCTCGAGGTTGAGGAAGAGAAGGCTAATATCTGCTCCTTTAAAAAAAAAAGAAAAGGGGTTTACAGTAAATAAAGCACAGCACCAATCCCAAACAAATGTTATTTATATACTTTACAAGAAAAAAAAAAATCCCATTCATATCCAAATATAAGGAAGCAAGCATAGATTTTAATTAAACTCAATTCTTTTCTCATAATTTACTGTAAAACCAGACTGCTGAGACAGGAGAAGTGACTAAACAAAGAGGACTCTGTGTTTCTTAGATTTCCTGCATAATAAGTGCATTACATAATGTGCAATAATTCTGCAAGCCAAGACATCACTCACTGTTGGCCATTTTAATTGGATCTAGCATGGAGACACAACGTCAATCACCCCCAGTCTCCCCTTCGTCACTCAGTCACAAACACTTTGTCTCTGCATGGGACACAGAAACACACAAGAGTGTGGAACTGGGGAGGAATGTTCCCCATTCCACGTCTCTGGTCGCATGCTGCCAGATAACATAGCCAGGAAGCCAGAGGCACGTCGTCACTGGATTTCAAACAGGTTACTAAGCTGTAGGCCACACCTTAGAAACCTGTGCTCTTGTGTAAAGAAATGAAAGGAGGTTAGGCATGTCACCGTGTGACCTCATGCAGGTCTGTCATGAGACAGGAAATGTGGGCTTTCCCAAAGCGATCAGTCTCTGCGCACACCTGGAACCGTGGTTGGTTCACCTGCAGCGAGTTGATCCACGTTTACAAAGAGGAAGAGATGGAACGGCTCACTGGCCTGAGCACCTTTATTGTGCAGAATTACAGGAAACTATTATCGCCACGAGGAAGTAACCAGAGAATAGACAGAGTTAAATCAACTATGAAACTGCAGGAAAAGATTTCAGCTGACTTTAACCAAAAATCTTTTAATCCACACTGACTGGAGAGTTATTATATTAGGTGAGAGTCATTTAATCTATCACAAAAAAAAATTTACTTGCTGCTGTACACTGCCAGACAGCTGGTTGAAAAAAACAAAACAACCTTTTCTCTGCTTTCAAGCAACATGAATCAACCCGTTCACAAATGTTTCAACTTCACACGAAGAAAGATGCACAATACATTAAATTCCAACTATTACTGCAGCTTTTGTGAGTGCAAAACAGCAACAGTAAAGGATGCATGCATGCAAAATCTGGCAGCGACACATCGGCATTGTACTACCCTTGATAGAAGAATCTAATATTTATGTCTGGGGTTGAGAAAGCATGATATTAAGAAAAATAAAAAAAACAACTGCCACTGAGAACAACTTTATGAGCAGAAGAGCAAACAGGTGACTTATTTTGAAACAGAAGACGTTTAAAGGGTGAACCAATGAAATATCTTTAATTTTTACTTTGGTATTGCTAGTTTTTTAAATCTTACATCTTTCTAGTGGGATTAGAAACAATTGTTACTTTTCTGTTTTAAACTACTGCAATGAAATGATCCATCCTGGAATAATTTTGACTGATGTCACAATTCAAGGATCTTATGCTAAACCATGCATATTTAACAGTTGTGCACAAAGACCTCCTTTCTTTTTGAGTCAAAAATGTAGTGAAATAATAGGCTTTATGTTTTAGAAAAACACTTATTTCCATTTCTACAACCTCAGCTCGTCATCAAGTTTAAGGCAAATGATACCTACAGCCGGACCAGAGCAAACATTAGGATGGACATGGAACTATGATCTTAAAACATAAAGTCAAAAAAGTTACTTCAATACCCGTCAACTCTCAAATGTATAATACACTATTTTATGGTAAATCATTAAATGTTTGCTGTTGCAAAAAGCAGCATAAGTTCAGGCCGTCGTCCAAACTATTGATCTAACATCAGAGAGTTATTTACAAGCATTAATAAATGGGATCCAATAAAAGGCATCAGTAAGGCTCGGCCTTTGACTGCTAACTAATGGATGCATTACTTCAACTCCTCCTTGCTTTTGCTAACAGCTAATAATGTAAGGACAGCTGGGAAATCAGTCAGAAAAATACTTTGCAAGAATTAATCATATCACCACTTTTGACACAGAAATGTAATATTAAAAAAAAATGCAATTTCTTGAGCTTTGCTATCAAGTAAAGGAAACTTAGTTTGCTATTTGTGTCAGAGAGATGAGGAAACAACATTTAAAAGCGAACAGCAGCAGTGGGCTGTTACTAAACTCAATGATTGAGGCTATTGTCGACATTTTTTAGTATCTTTTTCCGCAAATGGAGCCATTTTACCTTTAATTTTAGGACAAGAGTTTAAAAACAAATCTATTAAATTGCTTATAACTGTGACTTTCTGGATCTTTGCATCATCATCTGTCTGAAACGGTGTCCACAGCTTTAAAGAGTAAAATTCATATTTCACTCTAAAAAAATAATTATATATTTTGAAGGTACAACTTTATATAGTTATCTTTTCCACTGGAAATGGAAACCTCATTTTAAAACATTAACCTAGTTGCAAATTTGAATGTTTTTTGCACTGCAGGAAACATTTTAACAGTTTCAGTACCAATGACCCCAATAATTTATATATTTTTTTAGACCTAAATGGAGACTCTAATCAAAATCAAACAGATATAGGGTGTTATAAGAAGTTTTTCCCCACTCAACTTCAGTATAAAAGTAGATTATGGTTTAACACCATGGAGTAGAAATAGTTCAATGACAGCTAATAAAATGGATAAAAATAATCTCAGCATCTCTATTCACAATCCCACTACAATAGAAGAGAGACAAAGAGCAATATAAAAGAGCTTTAGCAGTTTTAAATATGTCCAGCATTGCTCTTTGTCTAAGCATTTGATTTGTTTTTAAAAGCCTTGATTACATCGCAAGTCACCATTTATGCTGCATCCATAATTGTGCATAGAGACTGCATTTAGATTTAAACTTGCTGGGGTGAGTGGCCAGAGAATCTTTATAAGGGTGGCCAGGCACTAAGCACTGTAGACAGAGGGGTGGCCGAAAGAAGATAGGCACCAAAATCTCAGGGTCAATCTACACGGTCCCAACAGGAAAATTAACGAGCAAAACACCCATATTTTCTAGATAAAGACAAACTATTCTTTCCCACAGCCTCTGCTAACAAATAGAAAAATATATTCAAACAACCATGCTTTCTAGACAGAAATATAGTGGATAAAACTCTGTCAGGTTTGAGTTTTGGGCAAACATCTTTTCCATTGTCATTACTTACCTATTTTTATCAGTAATCTTTCTGCATAAATTGATAAGTTTTTATGAAAATGGGTATTTATCTATGACTTTACTGAAGACTCCTAGATGACTTTTCTCTTTACCCCATAACACACAAAATCTATTTCTGCTTGAATTTTGTACTTTAATATTATATATTGATGTGCATAATTAACCACAGTGTTTTTGTTGTCAAGTAATTGTTAATAGAGGAAAAATACAAATGTTTTTAATATTCCTCTAGTGTGTCTTGGGCTATGTTCACACTGCAGGCCTTGATGCTCACTTCCGATTTTTAGTGAAATCCAATTTTTCTTTTGCATTGCCGTTTACATTTCCAAATATACATGACTTGTATGTGATCTCCTGTTTGAACTGCTTTCATACAACCTAAGTGTCCCGCATAGCAGTAGAGGACGCAATGATGTCACAAGCAAGCGTGCTCTGTATTTATGGAAGTAAACATGGATGGTAGTGCCAGAGAATATCTAGCGATCTTTCCCAACCTTAAAAACTCAATCTTTCCAAGATGGTTAAACATAAATACTACTCTCCACATCATCATCCACCATTGTTGTTTTTCTTGACACTTCTAGGTAGCAAGAAGCAGAAGAGTGACCACTGTCTGGTATTAATGACGTTCAGGTCGGATGAATGTGACCTGGCTGTTCAGACACAGGTCGCATTTGAAAAGATCAGATTTGGATCGGATTCAAACAGCCTGGATTGCATTGAAAAAAAAAAAAAAAATCAGATCTGTGTTCAGACTGTCATAAAAAGATCAGATCCAGGTCGCATATGGAAAAAATAAAAAAATAATCGGAATTGGGTTATTTCAGTCTGCAGCGTAAACGTAGCCTTACTGCTGCCCCTATCTGTATTAGAGGGAAACAATGGTAAGGGTGGCCACAGATTGGCTAAGGGTGGCCATGGCCACCCCTGCCCCCCCATCTAGTTCCGCCCCTGCGAGTCCCAGGGGACCAACCATGCAAGAAGCGTCAAGCACCGTCAATCAGGATGTGAGAATAAAGCAGTTAAATGAAGAATGTTCTATGTAATATAGGATTATCTAGTGAAACTGAATAGTGACATTGCACATTGTCATCTCAGCTGAGGTCATGGTGCAAGAACAGGAGGCTACTCCCAGATTTTAGGGTCTGCTTTCCATTGGGAAGAGTTTTTCTAAAAAAAACACCCAGCTCTGCTCCACTGCACATTCTTCTAGGTGGACGCACACTTCCCGAAAACAAGCAGCCACGTTATGTAATGAGAATACAGAAATCACTTCTTCCCCCCCCCCCCTCTGATTGGTTTAACAGCACCGGCTGTGTTAACTCCAGGCTCTCGGCGGTTAGGCTACTGAAGGCGGAATGTCAGGATTTCCTGGATGATTTCAACTCCCAACTTTGATGTAAACCAAACGGAAAGTTTTCTTTTAAAACCCCCAAAGTCCAAAAATTCCCCAAGAATAATCAGTTAATTGACTTAGAAGTCGTAAAATCGTAGGGCACGAACTCACAAATCAGTTATCAGGACGTCACAAGTTAGCAGCATTAGCCACATTTCTTAGCCAGCTCTTATGCAAGAATCCATCAATATGAACTTACGAGGCGTTTGGGGCCAACTTGGTTAAAAAGGATTTCATTTTCCTGCGGGGACAGGACTGTGGAGCCGACGTTGGATTGCCGCCGCTGCGGCGGTATTCCACTCATTATTCAGGCTCAGTTTATGAAGTCTGCGCCCACTGACTGCTTGTAGGAGCCCAGCAAAGAGACATAAACAATCCCCCGGTCATCCGTGGCCTGTCTCCGACTCCTCCACCGGGCGCTGAAGTATTCCGCTCCTCCGCCGAGATTAAAGATGCACGGAGATTAAAGAAGGCTTGCACGGTGTAGGAGTGTAGCTTTGACGTCTCCTTGATCCCTGCAATGAGGTCGAAAATGAGACAGCGGAGCGAAGACGGGACGAGGTGAAAACTTTCCTTGTAAGTCCTGCCGTTTTAGAAGCCTGCCAGCTCCATCCAACATGGCAGAGTTAGAGTGGCTCCAAAATCTGGGAACGGGGGGATACGGTCTTCCCTTCATGTCCGAAATAAGACAAAATAAAGTTAAATAGCTTTACAAATCATTAAGGGTATTTAATAAATACACATTATAATTTTTTTATATTCAATAAAAATTTACAGGATATATTTTACAACACATAGAAAACATAGCAACCCCCCCACCCCTCCAAGATGGTTTGATCCTATCCGCCAGTGGCTTCTGACAGGAATGTGTACAGAATTGGGAGGAGATAAGGAATAAGGTAAAGCAGCACATATGTCATAAAGCTTCATAAAAAAGGGAATTATTAAAGCGAGAGATGTAATTCCTTTAGCATATCAGCATATAAAAGTTCACAAATAATAATTCATTTATTTTCTGCCCTAAGAAAATATTTTTAAAGTTCTTAAAATTTGAAAAGTACCACTTCTTCCCGAATTTTCTTTATTTATGGGATTTTTCCCCACTTGAAATAAAATATTTGATTCAATAAACTTACAACCAGCTATAAATAGCCTTCAAATTAAACAAATTATTTATAAATTATTATAATTATTAATGCTTCACTTACTGAGGTTTGCCTTAGGGATGACAGAGCTGAATCAGATGTGCTTTACAGTGAATATGTAGGTCAAGCATAAAAACTCAATATAACCTAGTCAACACATGGATATAGTCTAGTATAATTTGTTACTAATTGGGCAATGGCTTTCCTCCATGAGACCTACTTTACTTGATGACATAAAATCCTTATTGGCAAAGCACACTGGGCGTTGCTATAACTGTAACTTAAATGGATATAAGGGTAGTTTTGCAAAATTATATGAGTTCCATTTATCCAGACTTTTGTTGCATAAAATTTATACAGGAAGATAACATGGGGGGGGGGGGGGGATAGGAAACACTTAAACATTCCTATTTTGGAGCCATGTCCATATTGGTCCCTTACAGAAATGTTGGCTGTTAAGCATCTATTGTTTCAAAACATGAAGCTATTGATAAGCTCTAAAACAAAGGCTGTGTCTCTTGTTTTTGCATATTTTAATAATGCACCTCGGGATATTTGTCCCACTGAGCAACTCGCTGAGTCAGGCTCACAAACTAAAGCTCTTTGTTACACGGAGTTTCGTTTTGTTTGTAATTTTGATCCATATACATTCAGGCTTTATTTAAATCAACAGATAAAATTTGAGGTGGTATAGTCATATGTTCGTATCCTATTCATGTGTTAAACATTATACTTTGTTAGGACATCTCAGATTATTGCACACGTCACTATAAACGTAAATATTTTAACTGGTTGATAGAAACTTAAATTAACATTTTAACCTCAAATCAGAGGCACCACCAAAAGGATTAGCTGGGGGGGCAATGGCTTTATAAATTTGCTTATTTGTACACTATCCCCTTTGTAATAAGTCAGCAGCACATTTTATTGGATTTCTATTTTTGAATTAAAAGTTCCAATAATATTTTTTTATTTTTCATTAAGAAAACAACTCCCAGTACAGCAGCACAGTAGACTCTGATATTCTTTTAGTGTTTTTTTTCTCCCACAACCATCCCAAGATCATAAGTGTCATCATTAAACCTCTCTGAAAACATTTTATGATGGCCCCTCCTAAATATTAATGAAGATTGCATCAAACATGAGAGTGAATTAGAACAAATCTTTCCACTGAGATACAAGTTTAAGCAAGTCTGTTCCTCCCTTCATTATTACTCAACAGAGTCTCATCATTTAGAAAAAATCTAACCAAACACAGTTCAGTTTCCATATTTCTTGTGTATATAGGATTGAGCTTCCCTGTTTGCACATACATATGAGAATATTTCACATTTTATCAATGGACATGTAAAGAGTTGTGTCACAAACCACGTTTTGTTTGGGTTGACCCATTTTCTTTGGGTCAGGATGGATTTTATTTTAATGAATAATCATTATTCCTCTTTCTTTAGCTGATTCTTTATATTCTTCAGCAAATCTGACCCAATTCTCTGCCTTAGCTCCATATTCATAGTATTTTTCTCCCCCTGAATAAAAGCTACCATTTGCTTTTAGTCGGACCTGAAAAACCCGACCTGCAGGTGCAGAAACACCTGAGGAAACAGCCTTGCTCCGCCTACACAAGCTCTGCTATGTAAGTATCATTGTGACTCAACCTGAGAGAGCTGCTTGACTTTTGCTCCTCTCCCTATTCAGACATGTGATGTCATTTTAAGATCAGGGGAAAAGATACTAAAAATATGAAAACATGCTCATAAGAAAACTAGTAAAATGATATGAGATTTCTGAGTAACAGCCTTCCTCTTATTTCAGGAGCCAAGCTGGGTTTCAGTGTGAGAATGTTAAAATGAGTTCCCAGCTGGTGACATGTGATGATGAATATGTTGCTTTTGATTACAGAACACAAAACCCGTTAACGCCAGTTCCACCCGCAGCCTTCCTCGCTCGACTGGGAACTTAGCTGGATTCACTTCCTTCTGGTTCATGAAACATATTTTCCAAGTTTTACAAGCTTTTCTTTCTATTTTTTTTTTTTTTTGCAAAAAAACATGTAAATTTAAGTAAGGAAGCAAAAGCTGCATGCAGTCACATGACATACAATGATATAGATCAGTTGGTATGCAATTAGCTTCCACAATGACAAGTGTAAAAAAAACATAGTGTATATTTTTTTGCTAAAATTATTGTATTGTAAATGGGGTATATGGAGGCATTTGCAAGAATATATATTTTATTTTACAAAATAAAATTATTTTTATATCCTGTCAGTTTGCAACTGCTAACTTGAGTGCATTTCCTATAAGCGATGACTCTAAATACATATTTGTTCTAATATGATGTATTGTGGAAGTGTTTGTAAAGCCCTGTAGACATGCATCAGAACATCTTCATTTGCCTGTGGTTGAAGCATTTGTTTGACCCAAAAGATTATGAGATATTAAACAAAGAGGGTAACATGAATATTATATTGTGCTCTGCTGAGTAGGACATGCCTTGCAGGCTTCTTCATGAATGTTTAACCATGCCCGTCTTTTCCGTTCTCTTTACATTGTTTGATTCTGCAGATTTGTGGGTATGTCATAACAGGGTCAGGCCAACGCGTTTGTTCAATGCGAAAGGTTTCGATCTGCTTTGAAATTAAGCAGGCGATAAAAAAAATAAATAAATAAAGTAAAAAACAGAACGTAAGCTTGATTGGTGAAAATAAGGAAGCAAAGATCTGAAGATCCCAGCTGGACTGAGTCTCTGTTGCTCTTCTTACCTGTTTTTTCTCTGTTTGTTTTATGAAAAAGTATAAAGATTAGTTATTCTATTAATCTGTAGATCATGTGTCAGTTACAACATAATAAAAAAATAGAAAAACAATGAAAAAAATAAAACACCATGGGCATTATTATGCTTAACTTCAGTATTTTGCATAATTTTTACTTTTTCCAAGGTGAAGAATAATACGAGAAAGAGATTGAATAATAATAATAAAAAGTAGATATGTTGAAAAATCCAAATTTTCTCTGGTGCACACAACGAATCTAAAGCAGAGCAGGATTACTCAACTAAATACACATCTTTAAGATATATTCCATGGTGATAGTTTGTGTATACAAGTTTGTTCTTGCTGGGTAAAAAGTTACTCCAAGTAAGTAGTTGTTAATTATTGTTTTTTTAAATATAAAAAAACTTAAAATGATGCATAAATGAATAATTGCTATTCCATCAACCAACCCAATTAAAACATATTTGTGGTTTTGGAAATATTAGTAGCATTAAACAGGCTATAAGAGGCTATAAAAGGTTTTTTTTTTAAAAAAAAAAAACCTGCAGTGTTCAATATAAAACATTTTGTCTTTTTGATAAATAATATATTTATATAACACTACTAAATGATAATTAGATTTTTTGAACCTTTCATAATAATAATGTATTATTTTTTATTCAGTTAAAAAAAAAGATCAGCAACACCTGTTAGTTGTGGTCCTTATTTGATAGATATCAGTTTGTTCATTTTCACAGTTTGACCACAAGGTGGCAGCATTACACAACTTGCTTAGGGCAAGTTGGAGGCTTCAATATTTCTTTAACCCTTTAAATCCAAGTGAGGTTTTGAGACTTCTGCATAATAAGTGTAATATTTGTGTTCTTGAAAACCCACTTACACAATCAGACACATATAGTGAACAAAAAATCTATAAAAGATTACACAGAAATGCCTAATGTATCAGAAATTATGCAAAAATAAATAAATAAATCTAATTGAATTTACACAACATTTATGTCTTTTTTTCATTTTTCAAAAAGTTCAATCACAACTCTAATTTGACAATAAAAAATATATAAAAATGTATAGAAATTTGTGAAAATTAGTTCATGGTCCAGGCTTCCAAGTTTGCACACAATTTATTTTTCTTTGTTTCTTGAGTGTTTTTATTTCACCATGGTATCAGATTTATAAATCAGTAAACCTTTAGCCTTTTAGTTAAATGCAAATAACCAACATTTTTTTTTCAGTAACTTCATAACATAGCTTCTCTATGATTAAGGAAATCACCTGTGAATGTTTTTGTCCTTCATTTTAATGCCTTCAGGGAAGTGATAAATACAGTCTAATCTTATCTAATCTAATCTAATCCAATCCAATGGGGTTATTTCACAATTCCCAGTCATTATTTAAGTGAAGTATTTCCCTTGAACCTTTTTATGATATTTTGTTTTATTATGACAAATTATTTCAATTTATGTAGCTAGGTTTGCTTTTACAGTGCTGAAAGACTTGATCTGTTGGAATATGCACTTGATTAGATTAGTTCCATCTTTGGTTACTTCTTCAAGGGTTTCCACTCTAGAGATCCTGTTTTCTGGGGAGTTTGGTTTCTTTAACGTAAGAATATCCTGCTAAGGTAGTGAACCCCCACCCTGACGCACAGTCTACTAGGGGGCACACACCCTGTCTTGTTCTCTTACACTATTTTGCAGGTACACTTGAACTTAAATTTGTT